TTGGCCTAGCGAGCCTCGTTCCCGAGCCGAGGCAACTTTGGTGATGATGGACACGTGGCCTTAGGCAACGAGTCAAGGTTTCCTAAATTTTCCAAAAATAAAATATTTAGGTGGCGACTCTGTATCTGGCAAAGCAGTCCATGTTTGGCACTTCTTTCAAAAAAAAATCTGTTTTCTCAAAACGATTTGCCGGATTTGGACTCTTTGGTTCAGATTACGAACCGTGACAATTTGAGAGTCCGAACTGTAGTGAGCCCAATACGAGCGGAACGGGACCTCATCCCTCCCGGGGGCGTTCGGGGACGTCCACACATACCAGGATTCCATCTTTTCACAATGATTCATCTACTTCTAAAATAATGTGGTCCACCTTCCAGGATTTTCATTAGACCTTCCTCACTTTTGATTTTGAAGATGATGAATCCATTTTCAAGAATGACCACTTCATCAAGACTCTCAACACACTTTCTAAGCCCATTGTTTAACTTGATGGAAATATAGCTTTTTGTCATTGAAAAACCCCAGTAAAACCATTTTATTAAACCACTAGAAATCTCAATGAGCACTCTACATTCGTTATTCTCACACCCAACACTCAATTTTTTAATCCCGTGTGTTTCACTTTTTGAATCTTTTAACAACTCATTCCATGAAATACACTTTTCTTTTTGAAAAAATTATACTCACCTTGTCCATGGAATGCAGCAGAATCAGTTCGCTCCACTTCACTCCGCAGATGTGTCATCTCTCTACACCCCCCAAAGCACTTGCTCTCGCACAGCTAGACTCCACTCATATCTAGCCCACGCAAGAGAATGGTCACCACACAAAAGAACTAAACTCCTAAATAAATTAAAATTCCTGCAAAAACAAAATTTTCTATTCTTCAATAATTGTTCATCCAATTCCTTTCTGGATACTGTTAAATTATCAACCAAGTCGACCTGCTACAAATGAGTTTTGTTTTTGCTTCCTTTACATTCCGAATACATTGAAATTCCAGCTTGATAAGACCTCCCCAATATGCTTATGTTTATCTGTTTTCACAAGCTTTCAGTTGAGCAAGATTGATCCATCCATCCAACACAAAGAAAATGGCAAGCAGCATCAGCAAGAGAAATCAAAACAATGTCAGTGAACAAGATATAAGTCAGCAAACCTCTGATGATGCTGATTACATAAGTTCCATGCCCCAAGAGGTTTTACTCAAGATATTGTGCCTGTTTGGCAGAACTTATTTTCAGCTTATTTCAGCTTTCAGCTTAATTTAAGTTATTTTGATGTGTTTGGTTTAGCTGATAGCTTATAGCTTATAGCTTTGTGGAAGTCAGAAATCAGCTTATTCTTTGAGTAGGGCAGGAGATGCTTTAAGAATAAGCTGGAAATCAGCTTAAGCTGAAAGTTATAAGCTATAAGCTGTTTAGGCATAAGCTATAAGCACTTTCCCACAGCTCTACCAAACAGGGCCATTATACTTCTTGCCTTTAAAATATTGGACAATACTGAGCGCTGTATCAAGCAAATGGAAAAATCTCTGGACCTATATCTCAATCATAAATCTAGATGAACTAGAGATGATCGTGAAGATAATAAAAGGAGATGTTTGCTGTCACCTAATTGATGAGTTCCCTAGTAGCTCCTCATATGCTTATCAACGCCTTCAACGTTTAGCACATGCAGCAAGAAGGAAATTTGCAGACTTTGTGGACCGGCTTATCCTGTTTCATTCTGGTTGCGCTATTGACAACTTTCGACTATCATTCCGGTATGTTGCTCAGGATGAATATGCCTCTAGGGTTGACAAGTGGGTTCACTTTGCCATGACAAGCAACACCAAAAGGATTGAATTGAACTTCTCTGAAGCAATCAATTACCATAGAAGGGAGGGTTGGCAAGTGAACCAAACCAACTTTGCTCAACCCTACACATTGCGTCCTTACTCTTTTGTATCCAGGATACTGGAAACTTTGATTTTGAACTACTGCAAGTTCAAAGCATTTAGTTTTGGGCAGTTTGTATCTCTTCGAAGGTTATGCTTGATTTGTGCGGAAGTACTTGATCGCTCAATTGGAGATCTAGTCTCCAAATGTCCCGCTTTGGAAGATCTGACCCTGGAATCCTGTTTCATTCCTGATAAATTCTTCGTGTGTGGCCAGGAACTGAATATCAAAAGTTTGTTTTTGATCAACTGTACGACACGGAATTGGGTGATGTTTCCAATCAATATAGCAACTCCAGAACTACTGTCTCTGACAATAGTAGGAACATACCTAATGAGTTCATTCATTAACAAAGCGACAAAACTAGTTGATGTGACAATTGACATCCAACAGGGGATTGTCAACCCAACACAGGGAAACTTTCTGGCTTCGCTTCTGATTAGTTTAAACCATTGTCAAGACCTGACGTTAAGTTCCTGGTGCATTCAGGTACTTTTTTGTTATTGTCTTTGATATATAATACATGATCACAGAACAATTATGTTTTTGTCACAAGTTTTCCTTGTCTGTTGTGAAGGTTTTACCTACAGCAGACAGTCGGTTAGAGCAATTGCCAAAATCACTCAAGAATGTGAAGTACTTAAGGTTGATGATGTGTTCAATGGAACAAGAACTACCTGGAGTAGCCTGCGTATTAAGAAGCTGCCCAAATTTAGAGCGTTTGATCATGGATATTGATGCGAATATGAATGTTGATTGGGTGGGCATTACTAAACTCTCTAAGCTTATATTTGCATTTTTTTAACCCTGATGGCTGCTTTTTAATTGCTTCAATGTGTGGATGTTCATGACCCAGGATGTGTTTGAGGAAATATTTTCAGAATTTGTTTACCTTGAAGAGTTCAACTCTATGGAAGCACAAGCTTCACTGTTCAGTTGCCTGCAAAACTGCCTCAAGAAAGTCGTGATTAACAGGTTTATTGGAATAAGTGGAGAGATGCAAATGATCAAGTTTTTGCTAAGAAATGCAAGAGTGCTGGAAATTGTGGAAATCCACTACTATGGACTGAATAGCTCTGCCCCTCCACAAGAAAAAATTGCTTACGGGTGGTTCCAATTAATCAACAAGCGCAGGATGATGAGTTTCCAGAGAGCATCTCCTCAAGCCAGAGTAAAGATGCAACCAATCGAACTTTGCTACTTGAGCTCCCCAAACTAATGTTCCCTATAATCCCATTACCAGAACTTATTATATTAGTCAACTTCGCTTTTGTGTTTTGAAAAACTCTTATGAAGAGTATCGAATGTTGAAATAAGAGATGTTATATGCTATAAATGATTTGTCTTGTCAGCATGTTAGACTTTTGTGCCGGGTTCGGACTCAAACCGGACACCCATAGGTGGCTTGACACCGTGGGTTTAAATAAAATGAAACCTTAAATGACGTAATTTTGTAACCATTGGGTCTTTTGGGTCAGGTTTGGATCAAATCGAATGCCATGGGTAGCTTGACCCAATGATTTAAATTGAAGGTTTGGGTTCATGTATGTTGCCCTTTAGTTGGTGGTTGTTGGCTGTATTATGTATATACATATTCCCAATACTTGTGCAACAGACACTTATATACAATGCATTCTGTTTTTTTCTCTCTCATCTCTCTGTCCCAACAAAATACCATGAATGTGTTTACAGTATTGTTTGATCATCCGTGACACGCTACACCACAAGTGAAAAAGTGCAAGTGAATCATTCATTGTTTGATTTAAGGAAAAGCGACAAACAGGTATGTGTTTCTTAAATCGCTTCTGCATTATTTTGAATTCCTACATTGCATAAGCCTAAATAGCATTTTTTTGATTCATTTTTAGGCCATAGAACCAAGAGATAAAAAGAAGTTTTACACACCTAAGTGCAATAAGCTTCTATACTATCACTATGAATGTGTCATACCTAGTTTCAAAATCTCTAGCTACTGCTAAATTCTCAATGAATACATAGTTCTAAGTTGAGATGATAGTTTGAAATTTGAATAATACCCACATGCCTAATGCCCTCAATTCCTACATAGCATAAGCCTAAATAGAATTTTTTGATTCATTTTTGGGCCATAGAACCATGATATAGAAAGAAGTTTTACACAATTGAGTGTAATAAGCTTCTATACTAACACCATGAAATTTCAAAATCTCTAGCGACTGCTAAATTCTCAAAAAATACATATAGTTCTAAGTTGAGTTGACAGCTTCAAATTAGAATAATAATATAATACCCACATGCCTAATTCTGAAATTATTTTTACAAACTAGATATCAAAAATACACATTCTATTTCAGGGATATTTGGATACCCAATTGAGATAATGATGTTTAGGTAATATAGTTTTGAAAAGATTAAACAAAAGATGGAGATTGCAATAAGATTCAGAAATATACAACCATTGAAAAAGAATCAACAACACCAAAGATTTTGGGGGTTAAATGGGAAGAAACAAACCTTGACATTGCAGATGAACGAAGGATTTGACGATTGGGATTGAAATTTGAAGGTTTCTTCTCGGGTTTTGAGGGTGGCCCAGATGAGATTTAACGAAACATTTTGGTCTTCCTTTCTTTCTATCTATCGCCATAGCCTTTTCTTGATGGGCTGTGTGTTTGTTTAAGCTTCAGAATTGGATAATTGGGAGGCAAAATAATAATCACAGAATATATGGGGAAATTTTAAAAAATAAAACTAAAAATTAGCTGGTAACAAAATGAAAAAAAATTATTCATCTCCTAATTGTTGGTAGTGCTAGGCATAGGGTCATCTGACCCGTCCAAATTGCCCTATCCGATCCGAACGGCATATGTATGGGTAGTTTCGCAAACATATTAGGGTAGAGTGCGATTTGGATTTTATCTAATTTTCGAGTTGCAGGCGGGTTGCAGGTTTGAACTACACCCGTTCAACCTGCCCGTATAATTTTTTTTTTTTTCCTCCTCAAATCTGACCGTTCAAAAAAGAAAACCCTAATCTTAATATCTCTACTCTTAAACTTCAAAACAAAAACACGAACTCACTTCACTCTCTCACTCTCACTCTCGCGTTTTTCATCTGCACTGCACTGATCGACCCTCTCTCGTCGCAAGATCGACCGATCGATCGATCTACCTCATCGCACCGACCGACCTCACAAGTACTCTCCCAGTCTCAGTCTCTCTCTCTCTCTCTCTCTCTCTCTCTCCCCGATCTTTGATTTTTTTTTCCCAACATATTAGATCTCTCTCTCTCTCCCTCACTCTCTCATCTCATCAGTCTCTCACTCTCTGGTTTTGCATCTGCACCGATCGGCTCTCTCTCGTTGCAAGATCGACCGATCGACCAACTCTTTCATCGCACCAATCGACCTCACAGATAAGCCTCTCTCTCTCTCTCTCCCCGATCTTGATTTATTTTGCAACATATCAATCAGACCTCTCTCTCTCTGATCTGTCTCCCTCACTCTCATCTCATCAGATCTGTTAATTTTTTTTTTATAGTAATAGATTTGTCTGTGAGAAGTGAAAATTGAATGTATGTGTTTGTTTGGAATTAAATCTTTTTTTTTTTTTTGTAGCAACAGATCTATGAAAAAATGGAGATTGAATCTGTGTATATATGCAAACAGATTTGTCTATTTTATTTTTATTTTTTTGGGGGAATTGAATCTGTGGGAAGTCGAAATTGAATTTGTGCTTTTGGAATTTAATCTGTATAGAATATAATTGAATCTGTGATTATGTTGAATCTATATAGAAATTAGAATCTGTATAGAAATTGGCATTGGAATCTGTTGAATCTGTATAGAAATTGGAATCTGTATCTGTATAAAAATTGGAATTGATTCTGTTGAATCTGTATAGAAATTGGAATCTGTATAGAAATTAGAATTGGAATCTGTTGAATTTGTATGGAAATTGAAATCTGCATTGAATTGAATCTGTATAGAAATTGGAATCTGTATTAAATTGAATCTGTATAGAAATTGGAATTGAATCTGTTGAATGTGTATAGAAATTGGAATCTGTATTGAGTTGAATCTAATAAATTTTTGAAAAAAGGTTTAAAAATAAATTTTTGAAAAAAAATCTAATCCACAAACCGCATGCACATCTGCGAACCTTATCCACACAAACCACGAACCGCATAGTGGGCGGTTGCGGGTTGACTTTTCCCCAAACTGCATAGATGCGGGTGGGTCCAAACCGAACCGCAAACCGTCCCTAACCGAACCGCAAACACCCCTAATTGTAGGGACTAAAGATGAGAGAGAAATAAGTGTATGAACGTTTCATTCTGATTTTAACTATGTTATTATCATTAGGGTGAAATTATGAGCCTCGATTAGAGGATATAGCAAGATTGCAAATATTATGATTGTTAATTTTGTTAATTTAAAATATAATATTTTGTGTAGTTTTCAATTTAAATCATTAACTTATTTTCGTTAAGGTTAAAAAAATGATATTTTAGTCATTTTAAAAAACTTGAATTTAATGATTAAATTATAATTTTTTTTGTTTAAGATGTTGGCTGGCTTCTTGATTTTTAGTTATTTTAGGCCCTGTTTGGGGATTTAATTTTTTAGCCAATTAGTCAAAAAGTTACTAAATTAGTCAAAAAGCCAACAACTCATACCAAAAAGTAAAAGATTCTCTTTTCTCTCTACTTTTTGCACATCTTTTCGTAATTAGCCTTTCGTTAAGGTTAAAAAAATGATATTTTAGTCATTTTAAAAAAATTGAATTTAATGATTAAATTATAATTTTTTTTGTTTAAGATGTTGGCTGGCTTCTTGGTTTTTAGTTATTTTAGTCTAAGATTAAAAAACTTTGTTTTGAATAGATTTTTTGACTTTTTTGACTTTTGTGAGAGAAAATATGAAATGATTATGATTTGGATGTGATATTTTGTCTTATTGACTTTTTAGTGTATTTTGTCTTTTTGTGGGTAAAATAGCCAAAAAAAACCCATGCCAAACATAATGTCACATACCAAACTCGGTACTCAAAAGTTCGGCGTCGCAACAAGATAATATAAATAAAATAATTCTAAAATTTCTGTAGTAATAGCGCATGTGGATAATTTAAATAAATTAAAATAAAATAAATGGGTACCAAAAAAATTATTAAAAAGGATAATAGTCATTTGGACTTTATTTTATTACAAAAGTCTAATCAGAATTACAAATAGTAAATAAATAAATAAATAAAACACTGCGATCTATTTCCAATCTCGATCCCGCTAAATTTCATCACCTGAAAGAAGATAACAACTATAAGCACATGGTAGAGTGATAAATATTACACAGTGAGCATGAGAGTACAAAAATTACCATGGATAATTGTTTAGTTAAACAGAGATTAGTTTGGTAACCGAAATACATAACCAATCTTAGATAACTGAAGTAGAATAAGGAAATCACATAAGCAAATAATCATAACTACGGTACAGAATAGAGGTGATTGGGGTGACAATCAGAACAAAGGTCAATGGATTTATGACAAATAGAATGCCACAAAGTGACCAATCAGAAGCTAGTAGTCATTTAAGTTCCCCAAGGCATTCGTGGTGGTACTTACAAAAATAAATATTTATAAAATTATTGTCAAATAATTTCAAAAATTTAAACAATCATATCCATGGGTTTTATTTTCACAAAAATGGAGTTCAGAAAATGTGACACCCTAAATGTTCAATTAATTTAACACCATATTAATATTAAATTTGAAAGTATGTGATTTAAAGAGTTAGATGCTATTAAAATTTAAAGTAAAAATATATATATATATATATATAATAAAAATTGCATATTTTTCTAAATAATTATTTACATTATTTTAAATTTAATAGTCAATGTTTTTTTATACTGAAAATTATTTCAAAAACAAATAATTTTAACTTTATATTAGTATTTGATATTATTTTCTGAGTATTATGATATTATTATTATATTTTTCTCTATATTTTTTCTAAATC